GGCAGCCTTCTAGAGCACATGGCGGGTCTTGGCCAAGCCGATGCGGAAGTCAGTCATGCCCTGGTGAATGTCGCGATACAGCTTTTGGAAAGCAAAGGCTCCTCGAAGATGGTGCTGCAGATCGGTCTCTGCAGCTTGGCCAAGGTCTTGAGACCCTACCCTGCGCTGCTGCCTGCCTACGTCGCCGTTCTGCTCAGGCATCCGGCGAATTTTCGGCACAGACTGCTGGAATCCCATTCTCAGGCAATGCAAAGTACGGCACCATCACGGCGAAAGCGCTATGTCATGGGCACATCCTGCCGGGTTTACGAGGAGTGCTGCATTTCCGACCAGTGGCCGGCCGTGGATGTGGCGAGGACCTTGGCCGAGCAGTGTGCCGCCGAGAACTTGCCGCACTTCGAGCCAGAACATCTCGAGGTGCTGACCTCCTGTATGCCGGCACCCGAGGTTGACATTGACAACGGCTGGCTTGCAGTCTTCGAGAAGGTCAAGAACTACATCTTCGTAGCCGCTTTGGACCCGGTGCTGCATACAGGAGCCGTGAATGTCATTCGCAGGTTTTGGCTTTGCCGTCCTCAGTCGCTGGCACTGAGGGCCTTGGATGCCTCGAAAAAGACACTCTTGCAGACCTTGCGGCTAAACTACAGCGACGCTGCACATACGCAGGCGCGCGTCGAGGAGAGGGTCCTCGTCGAGTTCTTGAGTGAGATGCGAGATGCAGGTGGTGCCGTTGCCCAGACGCTCCAGGGTGTCGTGGACCAGTTTCGAGAGGTGCATAATGCAGAGTTCCAGCGGTCTTCCTTGGCGAAACTTTTCGGCTAGACTCTGCGCCAGAGCTGGCCCGACCAGCATCTCAGCCTCTGGAACTTCCGAGTTTCAATTCATGTATGTTCTACTGATTCTACTGTAGCTGAGGCTTCACTCTTGCGCCATCGTGGGATTTGGATGGTTGTGGTTGGGCCTGCCTCTCACTTTTTGTTTCACCGTAGCTTTGACATGGAAGGCAACGGCTTCATCATGCCCGCAAATGCACGGCACCGGGCTCCGCCACACTTTTGCTGTGATCGTATCACGAATTTCTCACAGGTGGGAAGGTCTCAATAATTGCAGCTCTCCACACAGAGTTCCAAGATGAGGACAGGTGGTATCACACTGCGTAGCTTTGAGAATCCGACCCGACAGACCTCCTAAGGCCAAGTTTTCTGAGAGATTTGTGGTAATCCACGATATGCGAAGAAGCCACGAGTCATGAGGCGGAGCCGGGAGATGCGAGGCAGACTTCCCGAAGGGATTTGACCGAGCATGCTAGCGCCGCTGCTAGGACTAGGAGAGACTCGCCTCTGAATTGACCGAGAGACCAAAGCCCGAATGCACGTTTTGTGTTGTCTTCTGCAATCTCTGTCGCATCACTCATCCAACTAGACCCGGACTGCGCTCCGGGGTCTACATCCTGCTCTATTCCGCGTTCGCGCGTGCAAGTCCAATCTAACCCGAAATGTAAGTGAGACGGAGCTTCTGACGGAGTCCTTGGAGGAAGGTAGCTCCCCGAAGCCGAGGCCATGGGCTCCCGTCAGATGCGGCTGCTCTTGCCGGTTGGTTGCTCCGTAGCTTGGCTCTATTTCATAGAGGTTGGGGGTTCTTTTTGAATATTTTTTTTTTATGTTTTTTTGGGTATTTTTTTATGGTTTTCGGTTCGGTGGGTACGCGAGTCAGTCAGTCAGTCAGTCATCCAGCCAGCCCGTCAGTCAGTCAGTCAGTCGACATGTTTAACACGTATGTTGAGCCGTTATCGCCAATTGAGGGGGAGTGTTCAAGATATGGGATGATTTGGAATTGCCAAATAAGGGGGCGTGCTTTAGATATGGTGAACCGGAGCTACCAAATCAGGGGCGTTCTTCAGATATATGGTTCAAGATATAATATATGGTTCAAGATATTGAATGGACGGAAATAACCAAATGAGGAGGGGGGATGTGGGGTACCGGAATCGCCAAATGAGGGGGCGTGTTTGAGATAATATGATGAACCGGAATCGCCGAATCAGGGGGCGCATTTAAGATATATGGAGAACCAGAATCGCCAAACGAGGGGGCGTGTTTAAAATATATGATGAACCGGAATCGCCGAATTATATGATGAGCTGATATGAGCTGTAATGACCAAAAGAGGGAGCGCGTTAAAGGTTATATATATATATATATATATATATATACACATATATATATATATATGATGAGCCGTTATCACCAGAAGAGGGGGTGTGTTTTAACATATATGGTGAAAGGTTATCGCCGAATGATGGGCGCGTTCACGATATATGATGAACCAATATCACCCAAAGAGGGGGCATGTTTAAGACATATGGTGGAGGGCTATCGCCGAACGAGGGGGCGTGTTAAAGATATATGGTGAACCCGAGTTACCAAATACGGGGGCGTGTCCAAGATATGCGGTATAGTCATATCTATGGTGTACCCCCATCGGCAAATGAGGGCGTGTGCTTAAGATGTGATGAATCGCCTGTCCTCTTTTGCATTGCGTTGGCAAACCGGGGGGGGGGGGCCGTTTTATTATTCTTCTTGAAATCTTCAAGTGTTACGGATCCATCATGGGCAAAGAGGGGGGGGGTCCCCGCTTCGTCAAACCGCGCAAGCTCGATTCAAACATCATTCTGCCAGCAAAGAGTCCAAAGGAACGTGATTCATACGTACATTGGCTTTGCAACTGGGGGGGCTGCGCCCCCCCCCCCCCCCCAACCGCCCGCTTTCTTTTTGATGCCGTGCATGGCTTGCCGTCAAGAAAACTTCCGTCAATCACATAACTCTTCGTCGAGAAGGAATTGCGTCAGTCACATGTTTCTTCTTGAAAGTTTCGAGTGTTCCAGATCCATCATACACGGTGCAAGTTCTCGACAATCCAGGCCCAGAAAACCATAAAACAATACCCAAACAATCCAAAATCAGGCCCCTCCGTGTGACCCTTACAGGGTTTTCTACAATCCAGGCACAGAAAACCATAAAAATATAACCGAATAAAACCATAGAAAATACAAAAAAAGCCTGGACCCTTTCATAGAGAGGTGTTTGTGTTGGGTTTGGCCTTGCAAACGCGAAGCATGAGAACTCGGCAATATGCATGACGCTTCAGGTTCTGATTGGTCAAGTCTGCTGGATGGTGATCAGCCACTTCGCCGCTGTTGAGACGTGGAGCAGTGTGGCAAGCACATGCAGTAGCGATTGCATATTCTGCATATCCTGTCGTGATGCTACAAACCAGAAGCCCTCCCAGCCCTGTGATTGAATCAAGGCCTCCTTCAACAGATACCCCGAAGATTCGGGATGCTTGTAGTACGGAGCTTCGAGGTGCATTTTGCAAGGACTCTTCGTTGGCTGTGTCGGGTTTTCAGTCGGGTACGGATGCCCTTTCCGGCGAATACTCGGGAAGAACGGCATGGGTCCGTAAAACATATCATATGGGAGTTTCCGAAACTAAGGGACCCTAATATAGTACCCATTGTACCCCAAATAGAAGGATCCTTATGACAAAGACCTCCGAAAAAGGTACCCCTAATTTTCGGAAACTCTCATATGGTTTCCTTTTGGATCTAGGGCCTCAGGGGGAACGCAGGGCGGCAGCCCCAGGCTCGGTCTGGCACGGGACCAAAGCTCTCTGTGCGTAAGTTAGCAGTGTCCTTCATCTTCCTGTTGCTTCAGATTCCATGCGGCTCGATAACCAAAATGCTAAGGTGGAACTAGTTAGCTTTGATTGAATTATCGACATTCCTTTTCATCGTCTTGTTGCCAACCTCAATGGTCTGAGGTTGCCCGAGGCAAGGTGGAGTGCAAGTGTTCATGGGTAGGACAGGCTTATCCAGATCCTTCACACGCGATGTCATGCGAGCTGAGACTTTTTCTGCTTGAGGCCGGAGGACCCTTTGGTCGAGTCCTTGGCGGAGCTTCCACCTGGGGAGGCTCGGTTTCTGAGAGACGCGTTCTGAGTAGGCGGGTAGGGGTAGGTTGGGAGCGGGGTGGGGGTGGGGTGGTTCAAGGACAGCAACGAACCCTGGAAATCTTGCTATCCGGCAAAGCGCCCTCAGCCCCGTCGACCCGATACCGCTTTGGATCCGCAACATGCAATTGGTCATTGATTTGCCATGACTCCGAATTGCGCCAGTCCACCTGCGATGATGCAAATACTGATGGAGACAAGGCCTGCGTGGTCAAAGCTTTGTGCAGAGTCCAGGAAATGGATGTTTCCCACCATTTCAGGATTATGGCTGCGCGTGCTTGTTTTGTGCTGGGTCGAACGTTCTGAGATTCTGCTGATTAGCAGGCATGTTTGACTATCGGCATCTTCAGTTTGTCCTTCGTACACAGTTTTGTTTCCTGAGCTGTGCTTTGAGAATGTTGTATTGCTTTCAGAACGGCTCATGTCATCGTGCGCATACCAGGCTACTCGGAGTTCCGGCCGGCCTAAAGGTTTCCGGCTTGAGGTCTAAAGGGTGGTGCTGTTCGTGCTGAAGCTTGTGATACGGGCCGGGTCCTTGAAGCTTGGTTTGTCCTTCAGGAGACCCCTGTCCTCCTCCTGTCCAACCGGGGGGTTTGATTTGTATCCCTTCGGTCTATGATACAGATGCAGCACGAGCACTGTTGTCATCATCGCGCACACACACACACACATCCGCCCGGTGGCTGTTAGTTGCAAGCACCAGGCAAGGAGTACACCATGCCGTCTCTGAAAGTGTGACGTAACTTGAACGTTGTCAGGATTTCCTCCATGCATGCAGTCTTGGGTCCGTGCGACTCAGCGTTGAGCCTGCAGGACTTCATCGATGCAATCCGGCGAAGCTTGGACGGGCTGGAGACTTTGGCGCTGGAGCAGAATGCAGCCTGACAGAAACTGTGCGAGTCAATTCTCCCGTGATCGAATGTTTCTAAACCTCGGCTCAAGCATTGGCGCTCTCTCGCGACCCGCTTCGGCTCACCTCACGCCGTGCCACCATGGCTTTCCGCCGACTCGTGGCTGCCTCCGCAGTTGCCGTGTGCTCCGCACGGCTGACAAGGTGGGAGAGCCACGGGGAGTTGATGGATGAGGAGGCATTGAAGGAGAAGGCTTTCTCCCAGGATTTGATCGATGCCGTGAACTCGGCTGAGGGTTCAACATGGACGGCAGGCGAGAACATCCGCTTTGCAGGCGCCACTCTGAAAGACGCGAAGATTCTCATGGGGACCTTGCAAGACTTGGACAACGGCAGTGTCCTTCCCTACAAGGCCCCCGAGGATGTCGAGTTGCCAGTGGAGTTTGACTGGCGAACGGACCCGCGAGCGCAGGATTGCCCCAGCTTGAAGGAGGTCCGCGATCAGGCGGACTGCGGATCTTGCTGGGCTTTCGGAAGTGTGGAGGCCATGACGGATCGCGTCTGCATCGCCAGCAAGGGCAAGAAGAAGATCCACCTTTCCGCCGAGGACGTCACGAGTTGCTGCAACCTCGGTGACATGGGTTGCAACGGTGGGATCCCGTCCACCGTCTACAGTTACTACAAGTCTGTGGGCATCGTGGATGGTGGAAACTACGGTGACAAGTCCATGTGCTACTCCTACCAGATGCAGCCCTGTGCGCACCACTCAGTGTCGCCGCATTACAAGAACTGCACCGGTGAGGAGCCTACGCCCTCCTGCGCGAGGAAGTGTGTGGACAATGGTGCAGACTGGAGCAGTAGCAAGCACTACGGCACTGGTGGATACAGCGTGTGTCAGCAGGGCAGCGGCACAAATTGCGCCCAAGCGATGATGCAGGACTTAGGGGTACTTCTCAAACAATTTTTAATCTTTGCTATGAAAATCCCTAAGCAGCAGCTAAAATCATAATTCAGTATAGAGGAGATCTACACAAATGGCCCCATCACCGGCATGTTTTTCGTGCACCGAAGCTTCCTGTCGTACAAGTCCGGTGTCTACAAGGCCGGCTTCTTCTTCAAAGATCCCATGCTGGGTGGCCATGCCATCAAGATCCTGGGTTGGGGCACCGAGAACGGCACGCCCTACTGGCTGGTGGCCAACAGCTGGAATGCTGATTGGGGAGATCATGGTTTCTTCAAGATTGAGCGCGGCACTAACCAGTGCCAGATTGAGAACCCAATCATCAACGGCGGTCCGGTTGCGGGCCAACCGAAGCTGCACTTGGAGGAGTTGGTCGTGTAAGCGGCACAAGCCGAGGGCAGCCTGACAGCCGTGGTATGCCGTAGTGTTTCTGAGTTGGGCCCTTCACAAAAGTTGCAGAGGGTTCCAGTCAGAGTTTTGTTTCGATTTTGAAGTCGCCACATTGTTCCGGCGAGCTTTTTGGGCACCCGGGACAACAGAGAGAGGCCATGTGGCAGTATCTTCCGTTCCCTATGCATCTCTCTGACTTCGTTGTGAGACATCTTGTGAACAAATGCACCGAATCTGCTCCGTGGCGCACCGACTATACGGACCTTAAGGGGACAGCTGGATCCAGTCTGGGCCTGTTCTGTTATTGAGGTTCTATGAGAGATTGTGTTATTGGAGGTTGTCTGTTGATGCTGGTTTGGTTTATAGCTGGCGCTGACAGTCCGCACGTGTCGCGGAACACCGTGGTCTGCACGTAGGCTCTGTGATTGTCACATGTATGGTTGTACTGTCGCGCGCTGTGGCACGGTTTTCTGGAGTGGGGTTGCGGACACTTGTAGTGAAGCCTAGACTCTCTTATGCGTGTGTGAGTGTCGGATGTCTTAAGCACGACAAGGTGCAGAAGACCGAAAACTCAGACGACTTGCATCGTGTTTCCAAGGAATTCAAGTGGGCCGAATTCTTTGCCCGGCGCATGCGCCAGCAGCCTGTGTGTTTACTGGGGATTTCATCGCTGCGCCTTGGCCGACTTCCTGAGACCTCCATCCTGGAGGCCCGTTTGGTCCAGGATGCTTCACATCTATTCGTCTCATATCTGCTTGTTTATCCTCTTGTCTCTCTGCCCATGTGTGAAACACATTAAGTTATTAAGCATGATGTGCAGTTCATGTGTGTGTGTGTGTGCGTGTGGGGTTATTGTTGTATGCAAGCAGGCATGCACATATGTATGAATGTATGAATGTATGCATGTCTGAATGTATTCATGTGCCGTACTGTAGTGTAATGCGTGTATGGATGGAGGGAGGCCAGTCTGCCTGGCTGGCTGGCTGCCTGTCTATCGGTCGGTTTGATATGCACACAGTTTACAGTTAACACATGCTCGCACCTGTCTGCCTACCTCCCTGCCTGCCTGCCTGCCTGCCTGCCTGCCTGCCTACCTCCCTACCTACCTGCCTGCCTACATGCCGTCACAAAGACAAGCGGACAAACAGGAAATACGCACCTACCGCATCACAGACTGACAAGCGAACGCACAGACAATGAGATAGGTAAAGGAGTGGTAAAGGCATCGGGGCAAAAAGGGCGTGAGCTTGGGTTCGGGGTCAATGGCAGGTGAAATCAGCACAAGCCCTTTGCGGAAGAGTCTTTGTCTAACGTGTTGGCTTGATTGTTTCTGCTTTCAAGAAGATGTTGGGTTGTTTGATTCGATGTCAAAATCCAATTTCACCACAGAGTAACACTTCAACTATCTTTTGCATTTGAAGCCAGAAGCGCCGAAACCGTTGGCATCAGAGGGCCAGGCCAGCATCGGAAGAATCAATGCATGATTGAGGTTCCTAGTTGCTGCGGATGTGACAGCATTCGCTGCCGCTGCCAGCGGCGGTGAGCACCAGATGCGTGTTCGGAGAGCTTTGCTGTTCGCGCCTTTTGGCATCGAGCAGACTGCATGTTTTGCTGGGTGTCGCAGTCAAGTCTGACGGTCATTCAATTCTTCGAGATTTGGATTTCGCTGAGCAGATGCAGCAGTCAAGACCGGGCGAAGGAACCTCGGTGAAACGACCTGTGCACTTAGGCAGGGGCTGGCTCTGCAACATGTGGAGGAGGCCTGTGAGTTTTGCCAAAACAGCATTCCACGTTAGGGAAGTCGACTGATGGCTATTGTCGTTTTACTTTTGCTCTGACAACTGTCCCTGCGAAAACCGGCACTTTGAAGGCATACAAAAAGCACACACCGAATCCTGGACAGAGACCTGCTGCCAGCAGGGCCCACGCGCTTCGCAAGGCGCCCGGGCTTTGGATCTCCTGAGGACCGGAGGGTGGCTGAGATCTTGAGAAATGGGAAATAAGGGCTACCGTATTTAGGGCTGATTGAAACAGCACCTGTCTGTTCTTTCTGTCTCACCTTCGTCGCCTATGACCTTGTGTCCGACGACCTTGTAAGAAGGATCCTACTATTTAGGGGACTATATTAGGGTCCCCTATTTTCAGAAACTCCCAAACAAGAAGGATCCTCCTATTTAGGGGGCTATATTAGGGTCCCCTATTTTCAGAAACTCTCAAATATTCAAAGTTAGGCGACAGCCTGCAAGTCCAGGACAGAGGAGCTCAAAAACATGTTTGAGGGCGATAGGTCGAATGGGTGGATGGTCCAGGACCCGATGGCCACTGTGGCAGCTGCTGCTTCTTGGATGCGCTTCAGTTCCAGCCAGTGCCAGACTGATGACTGTCGCGTGCAACCGATCGCTCGGAGCACATTCAGGCAGCCAAGCAAGCCCCTGGAACATGGCTGAATGGCAGGTTCGGCCTCCCCGAAAATCTTGGGCCCTGAGGCGCAGTGTCCGCAAGGAGATGGCTTCTGGCAGCCGATTCGCACTTCCAGCTCCGCGCCGTGCGGCGCTTCCGGAAACGTCCCTCGAGTTGCCGGAGGCCGAGGGTTTCCCTGATTCCGCGCAGCAAGGAGTTCAAGATCGTCTTAGCCCTAAGCCCAGACCTTTACATACCGAAACAGCTAAACCCCAAGGCTTTTAGCCCTAAACCAAATGTGCAGAAAGTACGCCGAAATCACCGAAACGGCCACAAAGAAGCGCCAGCTCATGACTTCGCATTGCATCGATCCCAATCCTATTCCAGCTAGTTTGAGTTCTGTGAAGCGTCATGCAGATACTTTCGTGGCTACTAGGAGGTCTGAATTAATTCCTATACTTATACTCTCACTGCCAGTCTCAAGGCTTCGGTACTCCGAAGCCTGGAACAGCACCAGCCAAATGGAAGTCGCGGAAACTTCGGGGTACCTCACTTAGGGAGCCTGATGTTCAGACTCGGGTTTGCGGTTTCTACTGTCAGGGTTCCAAACTTGAAATGAAACTCCTATATGACAGCCTTCCAGGCAGGCAAAGTTCGTCTGTACGTGTGTATGTATGTCTGTCTGCATGCATGTATGTATGTGCTGAGTATGTAGTTGGTTCCGGAATGACCCCAAACCTCGCCTGCCTGCCGAGTGCGAGTGATAAAAATAGTCGAATATGTTATCTGCGGATGTATATATATGTGTGTGTATATATATATATATATATTCATATAAATATATACACATCAATCATATATAGAGCTTAAGTCGAACCAGATTATGTGCTCGGTCCTCGTGACTGGAGGAGAATCTCGCTTTACGTTTACCTTTTCTTCCCGGCGTGTTGGCCATTTTGGTGTTGTCGACACCAACCCCTGTGTCTCTATGAACAGACGGTTTCGTGTCACAGGGTTGAGACCATCTCGTATCTCCGAAATAGTTAGTTGACAGTTGCCGGGAGGATGTATCCCCGACATCAATTGCGGGGGTGGGTTGAAGTCCATGACCGCAGCCACCCGTGGAGGAGGATGTCTATCTCACTGTGATCGTCCAGTGCCGAAACGACGACTACGGAGGCCCTGCCTGCATCCCTGGATTCATTTTGCAGAGATATTTTCGGCCTGGCCTGGATTCGCCTGGCAGGCAGCATGCTCCTTCGCTTGAACCGAATGCTGGCAACAACTGCGACAATGCTCCACTCAGCTCAAGTGCCAGCTGAGATCATTGTCGTGGTTGCTAGGTTCGCAATGTGCCGAATGTGTTCTTTTTTTTTATGCAGTTGGTACGTCTATGAAATATGAAGGACATTAAAAAGAGAAGATAGGCGATCCGTTTTCCGTCCCACGCCCAGGAATGGAATCCACCACTGCACGAACCCCACATGCGGGAAGCCATCACGCGTGAGCCTGGTGGAGAGAGCGTACCCATCCGAGTCATCCATGTGCCCACCTCGATTCACATGTCCATGCCTCACCATAAGGCACGGGGAGAAGGGGCAGAGCACAGCTGTAGAGTGCGATCAAGGCACGGTTGAAGAATCATGTTGATGCAGGCGCATCCGATTTTCGAGCATACGGCAGAGAACATAGCATTCAGACGGGCTCGTGGACAGTTCATTCTCAAGACGAACATAGACAACATTCTCAGTCCGTTTACAGCAACTTGGGCAGAATTGGCGGCAATGTGACACATTCTAGAATTGGGCAGCCACAGATAACTGATAACCCAGACAATGCAAAGCACATTGGGGCTCAGAACGCGAAGACTCACCCAGGTGATGTTTATCGCCAGGAGAGAACTGCAGCCCGATGTGGTTTATCGTGCTGCCTACATGGAGTACGATGTGACATGTCCCGAGACAGAGGGCATGACTGCGAACGAGTTGCTCGATTGGCTCTTCTCGCGGGAGGTGAGGGCTTGAAGAGCGTAGGAGTCTTTGGCTTTGGGTGCCTTCAGCGGTGTCAGAGACTCGCAGGACTTGGTGAACAACATGAACTTGGAGTTGGCAGACCTGAGAGAAAAGTATCCAGAGCCTTGGTCCGCAAATCACGGAAGCCTTGTCTTCGCAGTATCATAGGGGCCCTTAGGGGGGTAAGGGGGGAGGGGGTAGGGGACTATACTTCCTTAAATAGGCCTTATTAGGTCCTTATTATGGGCATCAAGGCCACCCCCCCTCCCCCTATCCCTTTTAAGGGTCCTTATGACAATACCATTGCCGAAGAGTGAAGCAAAGGTCTTCAAGGCACGTTGTGGGAGAGAGGCAAAACCACGAAAGCTAGCTGCTAGCTCTCACTGCCCGTCGTTTCGGCCTGGCAGAAGTGAGGACGACGCCATGGTGTGCGTGGAGTCTGGACAAGACGTCGCCCAAGGCGAATTCGAGCACCGACCTTTCTACTGGCCTGGCAGCGGGGACTTTGTGCTCACAAGTAGAAGCTGGGTATTGGCCGTCCACGGGTATCCGGAGGCAGCTTCGACGTCCGAAAGCGTACCTAGGGCACAGAGGCGGCAGGCAGTAATGCATCTCACCCTTGCGTTGCGTCGTATCACATTGTCTTCATATGCCCGACATTGCCCCAGAAACTAGGTGTGAGGTTCGATCCGGTTTCCGACAAATGTTCTGTCAGCGTTGGTGCAGGTGGCTCAGAATTGGCAGACTGATGATTTGATTCATTGTCGACTGCGTGCTGCTGGCGTACGGCAGGCGCCTTTCCCACACATCTTGGCGTAGTTCCAATCCAAGCTACGAGCTTGGATGCTGTCGGAGTTGCCGCGCAGGTGGTGCTGCAGCCCCCGTGTGTTACGGTCCATCAGAACCATCGGCGCAGCTTGACACGGAATGGCGCGAGTGCAAATGCCAGGAAAGTAAGCCTTGTGTTGCTGCGGTGTTCGACCTGGGATTTATGACGTATTAGTTGCATTCTTAATTCAGAACTGGGGGATTGCAGCAGTTGTCAAGCCATGCCTGCCTGGTGCAAGTGCGAGAGTCGAGATTTCTCGATGCCCCAGGCATAAATCGGGTCCGTGCCAGCACCAGATGGGTCATCACAGACCACAACTTCAAAGAGGTTTGTGCCAACCCGTTTCGTCCGATGCAGACCGAGATTGGCCTCTTAGCTGAAGCTAGTTGCGGTAGTGTGATCGAGTGAGCAGTCCTGACAGTAGAGCGCCTGAGCACAGGGCGGGAGCGGAGTTATGGAGTTGGGCAAGAGTCCGCCTGAAAGGCTTGGATGACAATTGGGGCTTCGCAGACTATGCCTTCGATGAGTTCGTGCTGTAGTCGCTGCTGAACCTTGTGGCTCGTAGCTTCAAGTTGTGCTTTCGGCAGCTCGGGGCAACAGAAAGCGCCCTCTGAGCCCGTCTTCAGACTGAGAGCCGGTCTACTGCGTCCTGCTACGACACTCTGACCAGACCATCGCGGCATGTTCTGAGCGGCTCGGGCGCTGCAAGGGCTGTGAGATATCAGCCGACAGCGCCCCCGATCCGAGCCTCTTCCAATTCGCCCAGAGCCCGAGCACGCTGAAGCGGAAGCTTCGGAAGCTTCAGGCTGCAAGGTGCAGGGACCAGCCTGTTTCGTGAGGGAAGACTGCCCGACTGCCGCACGAGACAGGAAAAAGGTGGTAGAAGAATAGCTTCTGCAGCAACAGCTGCCCTTCAGACTTGCAGTTTGCTCAACTGGCAAGAGATGTGGTGTCGTGATGCAGGGCAAGCTGGACTTTCCAAGCTTCTTGGGCTGCTTGCGACTTTTGACCAGGCCTTGGACAGTTACTACGAGGATCTCCTGAAGGATTCGCGCCTTGGAGCTGGTAAGACTGAACTTGCGGACGTCAGGATGTCGAAGGATTATGATATGGTACTATGCTAAAGGAGGTGTAAAGAACACACGTCTGTGGGGTTCTCATTGAGTGGGTGATGCTTCGAGCTGGGCCATTCCGGACCCACTTTATCGTCGATGTATCAGTTATGCTTATCTTGCTTCATCTTCCTTGTATACTAAGGCAAATGGTGGAAAAAATGGCTCACGAAGCGGTGGCTGCTTGGTCTCATTTGCTTCGCTACCTGGAAGTAGGTTGCAAGAGGGGACAAGGTCTGCTCTTCCGTGGGTGATTCTGCGTATGCGGATATGTATATGTATATGTATATATATATATATATATATATGTATACACTCATGTAGATATGCATGTATGCGTGATTTTGCATCTGTGTCTCTTGGGCTGGCTTCCTGCCTTCTCGGCTTTGCGGATTTCGCGACTGTCCTTGGAGGTGTTACAGAAGTGGTTATGCAATCACGGCGGGTTTATTGTGTTTGGTCGAACCAGCAGCAATCAGCAGCATAAGCCAAGCCAAGCCAAGCCCCATGACATGCGAAAGATGCGATTGCTGTAGGTACACAAGCAGGAAGGCCCAAACATCACCAGCTACGTACGCACAATTACGTACATACATACGCGCATGCATACACGCATACATGCATACACGCATACATGCATACGCGCATACATGCATGCGCGCATGCATGCATACGCACATCCACATATGCATGCACGAATACGTACGTACATTCCTATATACACACGCATACAGTCATACATGCACTCGCACGTACATATGTACATATTTACAAATATATATATATATATATATATATATATATATGCTCCCCCCCCCCCCAAAGATCCGCGCATTTTGGCTTTATTCGGAAGGAACCCCCCCCAATATGAGTCGCAATTTGTTCTTAGTCGGAAGGAACGCCCTCAAATATGATTCGCGCGTTTTGGCCTTATTCGGAAAGAACCCCCTCAAATATGACTCAATTAATCCGAAACAACCCTTCCATTCCACAGCATTGCCGGAGTACCATTCCACAGCATTGCCGGATTACCCTTGGTACCCACATCACTTACAACAGCATGTAGCTGCAGTATTTGTAAACCCTTATGCATGTCTCTTTGCATATGGACACGGGTGATGGACATAAAGCGTAAACTTTCCGAGGGAGGAATATGCGAATACAAACGAACACGACTGCACCTCTGAAATGAAAAGACAACGACAATGTGGACCGGGTGATCGGTGATGGAGACAAACGGTGGCACAATGATCGTGACTTTAGGGTCTGTTTAGCTAGTTTTTTATATAGACAATATCAAACGCTTAGCTAAATGCTACATAGCCATATCACGCATTCTACAAACCGAAACCCAGAAAGTTTCGCACTGATTCAGACATAGAATTAAAAGCACAAATGTCAAATTTCAGGTTCGTCCACGCATCCCGGCACGCTCGCATGCAGGATATTGCTATGCACCTGTTTAACTTTGATATCGGTCGTCATCGTGTCTGAAAACAATTATGCCACTGGTTTCAACAACTGTACTATCCCTCGGTGTATGAGCACAAGAAGATTCCTGGCAACCGTAGTCTCATGTCAAAGACTGGATATGGCATCCATACATCATCATATGCTGTTCCTCTGTCAATATGATACGCAACAGTTTGCATTGGGTCCAGGATAATTTTCTATATAAATGTTGCAACACAGAAGGTTGTGATTGCTAGTTTGTACATGTGTACATCAGATATGGTCCTCAGGTATGAAATCTTACCTTACCCATAGGCAATGCGTCAAGGACAGGGGTTCTCTGGCTAAACAGCCACCAGGCCAATCCATGAAGCTAATGACACGGTGCACCACAGTTACCACTCCTCCATAGCATATAACTGCCGGCCTGACATGCATATTGTCTTGCATATGTCAGCCCATGGATATGACACGAAAAATGTAATATCTTCATGGCATGTTGGAGAAAAAACAAGTACGCAAATACTCCGGCATCGACATCGACCACGAAGATCTGGGTTTCTATATAGAGGATCTACAAAGTTTCTATATGGAATCTATAGAACTTTCGATATGGGCCCATATGAGGGATCTACAAGGGGTTTCTAATGGGTTTTTTTGCAATGGATGTACAAGGTGTCTATAAGGAATATAAACGGGTTTGCTATAAGGGCTCCATATGAGGGATCCATAATGAGTTTCTAGAAACTCTCTCTATAGGGATCTATAGTTTTTCTATATCATGGGTTTCTATAAGGTCTCTACATAGAGGATCTATAAGATTTCAAGAAGGAATCTGTAAGGGTTTCTACATGGGCCCAAAATGAGGGATCTATACCGGGCTTCTATGTGGTTTCTAGAGGGGGGAAAACCACATAGAGGGGAATCTACTAGTTTTCATAAGGAGTATATAAAAGTTGTCTATGAAGGCTCCGTGCAAGGAATCTCTCGAAGTTTTCTTTGAAGGACTCCATTTGTGGGTCTATCAGGGGCTTCTGTAACTCTCTATATAAGGGATCTATAAAGTTTCTATAAGAATCTATAAAGGCTGTCTATGAGGGCTCCATATCAGGGATCTATAGGGAGCTCCCCTAAGGTTCTACGATGGGGCTCTGCAATGCAAGGACTTCTATAATGAATCCATAAGGATTCTCGATAAGGGATCTATACGGGATCTCTATAAGGTCTCTATAGGGAATTCATAAGGCTTCTAGAGAGAATCTATAACGGTTATTTGGAACGGCTCCAAAACAGAGCTGTATGAGGGTTTTCCATAAGGTCGTTATAGATGGGATCTATTCTTCAAGGTGTTCATAAGGCCGCTGCTTTGGGAACCCACACGGTTTCGGAACGGAATCTGTAACAGAGTTCTATAAGGGATCTATGAGGGGTTTCTCGAAGGTTTCTATACAGGGGATCTATAAGGTTTCTATAAGGAATCTATGGTTTTTCTATACGGGCTCCATTTCAGGTCTATAAGGTCTTTATATAAGGAATCTGTAAGGTTTCTATAAAAAAAATCTATAAGGGAATCTGTAAGGTTTCTATAAAGAGTCTATAAGGGTTTAGGATTCTCGACACGGTCTCTACACAGGGGATAGACAAATTTTCTAATAAGGAATATTTATCAGGGTTGTTGAGAAAGGAGGGGGAAGGTGGGGAGGTGAAAAGAGAGAAGGGGAGGGAAGGGGAGAGGGATGGGAAGGGCTGTTGCCGGCAACACATCGGGTATTAGATCTCGGATGCAGGCCTTAGCCCCGGTACAAACCGGTACAACCGGTACAAGTTGTACCGGTCTTCTCCTGGAACCTTGGAAGGGTCCCCCCGGTACAAACCGGTACAACCGGTACAACTTGTACCGGGGGAATCCAAGATTCCAAGATTCCAAGATTGCTGCGAACTCTTTCTCGGAATCTTGGATACCGGAGCCCATCCAGTTCCAGGATTCCAAAAAAGACTCCGCAGCAATCTTGGAATCTTGGAATCTTGGATTCCCCCGGTACAACTTGTACCGGTTGTACCGGTTTGTACCGGGGCTAAGGGGCCAAGGCCTGTACCCACTATCTTTGGAGCGGAGTTTGCCCAACCATGTGTGTGTGTGTGTGTCTGCTAAATGTTGTGGTATTCACGTAGGAAGACACACATACAGACGACATGAAGAACAAACAAACGGGGATGGCACACGAAGAGCTGGAAACAGACAGAAAGCGTGGATCTTTGGGGGGGGGGTACCATATATATATATATATATATACACACATAGCACTGCGCATACATGCATACATACACATGTACACACACACACACACACACGCATCCACACATCTGCACGGACATACGTACATACGTGCCTTTACGAGCATTTACGTGCACACATACACACATACACACGAACATATATACAATTTACGTGCACACATACACACATACACACGAACATATATTCACACACATATATCTGCATCCGTCCATACAGACAGACATACATACATACATACACACACACATACACGCATATACCTACGCACACACACACACACGCATAAACGCACGTACATAGGGCATGCATACATACGTATACATGCATACGCGCACGTACATACGTACACGCATGCCCACATGTATTCATACAAAGGTGCATACATCCACATGCAGATCTACCCATCCATCCTGCATGCGTATGTGCATGCTCCCGGGCACTTGCGCACACGCCTGGGACCGGCGTCTTGGCTTCTGCATGTTTTGCCGAGGCATCGGTCGCACGTCGCCTCGACCAGAAGAAAGTGAAATTGGAAGAAGCGAAACTGGAGCCTCGGCATATGTGCGCGCCGGTTCATTCTGCACGAGTTCTGTGCTTCATTGTGCCGCTTGCGCTCCCGCCTGTCTGCTTGAACTGCCTGAGTAAATAAAGTGACAAGACCCTTTTCAGGTCGCGG